TTTATGATTATAGTCTCTCGGACGCCTGCTCGCTCGATGGCATTTCATATTGGCAATTCCTCTTTGTGCGTCATTCGTAAACGTTTTGTGCCCCAATTGAAAGCCTGCCCCTGTCTCTGCTCAGTAATACAAATTGTTGACTTGGAAAAGCATTTTTATGCGTTTATTTTCATTTTCGTGAATGAGTTTTATTCGTTTTAGTTAGTTTTGAGTTTGTGGCGCATTTGCTTTATTATTTGGCCACGCGCAATTTGCATTGAAAATTTTCAGCATTAATATATATAACATTTTTGTTTGCTTCTGAAATGATTTTCAAAATGTTTTCAGCAGCGATGCGTGGGCTGCTCGCAATAACATTTCAACTCTCTGTGAGGCTGCGGTAATTGCGTTTTAAGTGGCATTTGGCACAATGAATAATGCGCCAAAAACTGCCGGAATTTGCCGCAGACACACAGCCATTTAAACGCCCCACCCCCCAATGGTCACGTCGGGGGATCTTCAGTAGAAATTTCAACAGGCCAACAGGTTGAGCCATTTGTGTGGCTAAAAATTTATTAAAATTGATGCTTGAAATTCAGGCCAGGTGCTAAAAATTAGTAAGAAGTCCACAGTTGAGTCCGCTCGACTAGCAAAAGATACTCTACAACCGACTCTTGGTAAAGGGAGGCCGTTTTTTCTCTTGTTGTAAGGGTTCTTTATTACTGAATAATGTGGATATGACTGGCGATGTCGTCAAGCACTTCGAGTTATTAGAAAATAAGTAGAGTATATGCGCACTTACATAATAATTTTCCCAACTCTAGCTCTTATAGTCTCTGAGTTCTTCTGGGTAGATCGGAACAAACTTGTTTGGCCTAAGCTTTTGTTTTATACTACATCCTTACATATTTATTCACGATTTCAACATCTGTATTTACAGAACATATCTACTAGTGCTACAAACGTTAAAATATACACATTGATTAGTTGAGCTAGAAAAAAGTAATGAACCAGAAATCTGAATTACACTTGCTGTTTTCTTGACTAGAAGAGCCACAGTTAAGTAAACACATCGACGCCCAACTCGCTCCCCTTCCCGCACACGCACACACACACCATCTAATGATCTACCCTTGAGTGTTTGCGCCCCCGCCCCCCTTTTTGGCCACATGCCAGCGCTCAAGTGAAGCGTTACTCCTGCTGTTGCAGGATACGCACAGACAAAAAGCTGGCAGAAAACTCTGTTTGGCCTGTGCCAATATTCAAAAACTGATTTTCATATGTCTTTTAAGTTTATTTGTGCTCAAGCGTAACAGCCACGCCCCCAACCCCAAACTCCCACTGGAAAAAATCCCCAGCAGCCGGCAGCAGCCTGCTGTTAGGCTGCAGAGGCTTTCTTATCGTTTTCTGCACACGCATAAAAGTTGCTGCTGTCTGTTTCCTTAAACTTTTTTATTGGCAAGAATTTAATTCACCCTAAAAGACACACACACTAACTCAGACACACTCACATGAAATAGATACTACGCAGAATTTAGCTGCTGCGCCTGTGCCAGTTTATGTATACCCTTGCAGAGTGTATTTTAATTCTGTCATTAAATGTGTAACAAGTCCATAGAGTATATATGTTCTTGATCAGCATCAGCAGTCGAGCCATGTCCGACTGTCTATGACTATGCAAAGTAGTCGCCCCGTTAATAAAATCCCAACGGGCCGGATCGGAGGATTATAATATATAGTTACCATAGCAAGAATCACTCGTAAATTAAACTCTCATGAAAAACTCACTTGTTCAAGATTTAAGCGAACTCGACAATTGATAGAATCTATATAATATGAACATCATGTACTGCTACATCATATGCAAATCAAATGTCTAAAAAGAGCATTTCATTTTTGGTGTGCTTTAGCTAACCCTGCTTGCTGGATATTCCCCTTGTATTTTTTTCCCACTTTTTGAAAAGCGATTTCGAATGCAAATTTTATTGGCACAAGAGCCTGGCGATAGGCAGACTGCTCGCTGAGGGACTTGTCTCCTGCAGGAGCTTCTTCATGCGCTGTGCATGCAGATTAAAATCAATTCAATTTGCTGCAAGCCAAGTAAAAGTGGTAATCATTTTGCTCAGCTCTTTGTTTTTGCTCTTTTCTCTCGCTTCACATATTCTCTCTTTGTACTTTACATAATGAGATTTTAAGCAAGTGCGTGGGTAGCTTCTCCTTTCCAAAAGAGGGGAGTACTTTGCTGGTGGAATACTTTGTGCTATTCGGAATGTTGGCCACAAATTTGCACAGCAGCTTAGAAATTCGCATTCTTTTACATATGTTGGCAAATTTGCTTTTGAAAATGCCTTCAGATAGTCGGAGCAAGGGGCACAGCTTATTTCATGAAAGTAAATTTACAGGAATTTGTGATAGGAACTTAATTCTAAATAAGAAAACGCTTTTATTTTAAACGAATTTAAGTGCTGGCGCACAATATGGCAAGTAATTACATTTTGAGCAACCTAATGTCTGAGTAGGCGCGAGTAATGAAGCGAGAAGCGAAACAAGAAGCAAAACAAGAAGCAAAGCAAGAAGCGAAGCGAGACACAAAGCAAGAAGCGAAGCGTAAAGTGGCAAACACCAACAACCACAGCGTGTGTGTGCTTTCTTACGCGAACACTCAAAAGCTGTCTTAAAATTAAGCGAAGCGAGAAGCGATGTGCAAAAACTGAGCACAGCAAACAGAGCCCCTACTATAATTAAACATGAATAGAAATATAGTAAACATAGAAATTGTATAAAATAGCACCAAATGTAGATATACTTTGTTTAGAAAGAAGCAAAGGATAAGTGACAGCAGCCACTCGCTTGAATCTCTAATTGCTTTTCACTTATCTGATTGTGTTTGTCAGTACTTATGCTCTGTTTTATTTGAATACTTCTTCTTACTTTTGAGCTTCTTTTTGTGTCCTCTTAGGCTTCTCTCGCCTCTGCCGTATCTTTTTTACTTCTCTGATCGCTTCTTTTAGGGGTTTTTATCTCTTTTATCATTTCATGCTTCTCTCAACTTATCTGTTTTCATATTTGTCCAATAACTTTTGTCGTCACTTCTCCCGTTGATTTCTTTATATGTTCTTGCAATGCTCTCGCATTATATCGATCCGCTCTCTTTGTGTGTTCTTCAATAGCTCTTTAAACATATCAAATGCTTCTCTGATCGCTTCTTTTTCACAAGTATTCACCTCATATTTCACTTTGGTATTGATTGCTGCTTTCCTGGCTTGCCATTTACTCAAATTTGGTTTGCCTACTTACATGGCCGTAGCTAAAGTCAATTACATGCCCCAAAAATAGCGTGAAAATTGCAATCACTTTGTTTTTACCATTTTACATAACCCCCACACCTCCCGCGCACACACACACACACAACTCTCTGCTGTTGCAGCGTTGCAGGCAATCAACAAATTAAAAATAAGGAAAAATGTTGCATCCAACTGCGGCTTATCGACTTTTGTTTCCCGCTGGCAGCCAATGAATGCTCCAGAGATTTCGGTTTAGTTGGCAATGCCAACATTTATTAAAATCGCTGACACATATGCCAGGCGGGGAAGTGGTGGGAAGTGGGCTGAGCTGTTGGTCTGCTGGCTCTGACAAGGCGAGGCTGCTGCAACTGACACAAAAATATTTCATAAACATTGCGACGACAAGAACGACGCAATTAAATATGAAAACGCAGCAAAGGCTTTTTCCATACCCTAACTATGGGTGTTAAAAACAAGTTGGCATGAAAGCTCTACTGTTGGGCCACAAGATAGTCTTATATGCTCTTTTCTGCCAATAGTTTTGTTATAATTATTTTTAAATCATTTAATTATAATTTAGGGTCCCGGCAATTACAAATGTATCTATGAAACTATCCAATTCCATATCACATATGAAAATTTAAACAAGTGCAAAGTGTATTTAGTTTTCGGCAACCTGAAGCGCTAGCTAAGCTTCACCTTCTTGTTTCTCATTAGATAGCCCGCAGGCGTAACGCAGCAATAAATTTCCACTAGCCCACAAAATATTGGGCCCCAGACAGACTGTGGGGCGCCTTTTGCACTTGGCCCAAAAGCAGCCGGAAGTTGGGCCCATGCTGCAGCAGCTTGTGATACTAAGAAACATCATGTTTATCAAGCAGCAGCAGCTTTTGACTTGTGTTTGTTCGTTTGCGGGTGAAACTCAAATAAATGCGTCATTTTTGCTATGCTGCCTCTGGCCTGAGTGGCAGCGGCTAATTAAAATCTCAAAAGAGCTGCGAGCAGCACGCGGCGTATACGTAATTAGTCAGTTGCTGTCTCTTACTTTAAACACATGCTACTTCCTCTTTATTCTTTTATGCATACTTTTTTCGACACTCTACAGACATAAATCACGCATACGCCGCGTTATTCGCGCCACATTCATTGATTTATGTGCGCCCAGATATTTGTGCTGCAATTTTTAAGTAACTTTTATTATGACAAACGTGGCTTTTGCCTACGTGCCATGTGTTCAGGGCGCCAGCTTTTATTTCTTTCTTTTTTTTTGCCTTTGCCAACCTTGTGTCTTGGCTGAAGCTGCGTTTTTGGCCACATTCGCTGTACATTTGATAAATGGCCCGCTATGAAATGGCCACTTAATGGAGCCTGGACTGCGATAAAAGCCTAACAGAGATTTCTAGAGATATACAGAAGACAGTTGTCGATAAATTGATATAAAACAAGGGAAAAATAAACGAATAATTATTTTGAAAACCATTTGCTCCAAAATCTTGATAAGTACTAATATTTGTTGGATTATCTTTATGGATCCAAACAAAGGAAGTTGGAAGAATGAATGGAAGATCGTACAAGACGTTAGGCAAATCCAATTTATCAGCATATTTTCAATATTTTATTACTCTTTCATTTTGTGGACTTTACATACAATTTTTGATAGTTTTATAATATTTGTACCTTCTTTTATACATAATATATTGAAAATCGAAGAGCACGTTTATTGGCCTCTCCGCCTACTCAACCGGTTAGTTTTTTCATTAAGTCCACATTTGTTGCGGTTCGTTTCCTTGATTTTGATGATTTCCTCTTATATTGCTTTCCAGACCGGGTCTTTGTGTCCTTTTTTACTGGCTTTTTGGAGGGTTTTGTTCTTGGCTTATGCTCCATAACAGATATATCTTCATCTGGCTTGTAATCATAACGGTAGCATTTTAGGTAATCATTTTCGATTAGGCAGAGATAACTTGAATGTCCATCATATGCATTTCCTCCTTCGTTTCCTTCCCCGTCCTCATCTCCTCCTCCCCCTTCTCCTTCTCCTTCTCCCCCTTCTCCTTCTCCCCCTTCTCCTTCTCCCCCTTCTCCTTCACCACCACCACCATCACCACCACCGGGAGGGCCACTGGGTGCACCGCCTGGGGTTGCACCTCCACCACCGGGAGGGCCACTGGGTGCACCGCCTGGGGGTGCAACTCCACCACCGGGAGGGCCACTGGGTGCACCGCCTGGGGGTGCAACTCCACCACCGGGAGGGCCACTGGGTGCACCGCCTGGGGGTGCAACTCCACCACCGGGAGGGCCACTGGGTGCACCGCCTGGGGGTGCAACTCCACCACCGGGAGGGCCACTGGGTGCACCGCCTGGGGGTGCAACTCCACCACCGGGAGGGCCACTGGGTGCACCGCCTGGGGGTGCAACTCCACCACCGGGAGGGCCACTGGGTGCACCGCCTGGGGGTGCAACTCCACCACCGGGAGGGCCACTGGGTGCACCGCCTGGGGGTGCAACTCCACCACCGGGAGGGCCACTGGGTGCACCGCCTGGGGGTGCAACTCCACCACCGGGAGGGCCACTGGGTGCACTGCCTGGGGGTGCAACTCCACCACCGGGAGGGCCACTGGGTGCACCGCCTGGGGGTGCAACTCCACCACCGGGAGGGCCACTGGGTGCACCGCCTGGGGGTGCTACTCCACCACCGGGAGGGCCAGTGGGTGCACCGCCTGGGGGTGCAACTCCACCACCGGGAGGGCCACTGGGTGCACCGCCTGGGGGTGCAACTCCACCACCGGGAGGGCCACTGGGTGCACCGCCTGGGGGTGCAACTCCACCACCGGGAGGGCCACTGGGTGCACCGCCTGGGGGTGCAACTCCACCACCGGGAGGGCCACTGGGTGCACCGCCTGGGGGTGCAACTCCACCACCGGGAGGGCCACTGGGTGCACCGCCTGGGGGTGCAACTCCACCACCGGGAGGGCCACTGGGTGCACCGCCGGGGGGTGCAACTCCACTACCGGGAGGGCCACTGGGTGCACCGCCTGCAGGTGCACCTCCACCACCTCCTTCTCCATCACCTCCTTCTCCATCACCTCCTTCTCCACCACCATCACCACCGGGAGGGCCACTGGGTGCACTCCCTGCGGGTGCATTCCCTGCGGGTGTACCACCTGCACCGCCTTCGGGTGCACTGCCTGCGGGTGCACTGCCTGCGGGTGCACCGCCTTCGGGCGTACCTCCTGGTACGCCTGCGGGTGCACTGCCTGCGGGTGCACTGCCTGGAGGTGTACTGCTTGGGGGTGCACCTCCTGCTGGTGCACCTCCTCCTGGTACGCCTGCGGGTGCACTGCCTGGGGGTGCATTGCCTGGGGGTGCACCTCCTGCGGGTGTACTGTCTGGGGGTGCACCTCCTGCTGGTGTACTGCCTGGGGGTTTACCTCCTTCTGGTGTACTGCCTGGGGGTGCACCTCCTGCTGGTGCATTGCCTGCGGGTGCATTGCCTGCGGGTGCACTGCCTGCTGGTGCACTGCCTGCGGGTGTACTGCCTGGGGGTGCACCTGCTGAGGGTGTACTGCCTGGGGGTGCACCTCCTGCGGGTGTACTGTCTGGGGGTGCACCTCCTGCTGGTGTACTGCCTGGGGGTTTACCTCCTGCTGGTGTACTGCCTGGGGGTGCACCTCCTGCTGGTGCATTGCCTGCGGGTGCACTGCCTGGTCCGTCTTCGGGTCCAACATCCCAATCGCCATCGGGTCCACTTCCTCCAACGCTGGGATTGTCGACTCCACCTGGACTGTTAACGTCACACCATATTACTGCGTTCCAAAGCATTTCTCTGATCGACATGCCATCCAGCAGCCCCTTCACTATCACCGCACTGATATCGATGGCCAGTTGGGTGTTGAGAGGCTTTCCATCGTTAAACTGTTCCACTTGCGCAAGAATTGTTTTTGCTGCTGCAAGAGCAGCCGTTTGCAAAAGGTCATCCTTATCGGCTCGCACCACGCAATGCTCCATCGCACTCCTATGCTTGGCCGCAACAAAGTATGTTGTGCCGCCCCAGAAGAAAATGAGGAGCAGTAACAGACGCTACACGGTTAAAGTTGGGATGTAAATTTCTCTGCGATGGCGCATACAAACCGTAAAACAATTTACCATTCTTTGTGGTGACTCCTTTAAAATACTTCTAAGATTATCGTGATCTTCCTGCTGTGTTCGAGTATAGAATGAAAGCAAAAAACGGTCGTTCGTAGCGCCCCAATTTTTCAAGGCTATTTAATGGCAATTTTATATGGTTTCTTGATTATTGTGGCTTTCTTGACTATTTGGTATAACAAATCAGAAATCCCTTATGATATAATAAAAAGTGTTCCCAATATGAGGTATATAACACTTGCTAGTCATATCTTATTGCATTGTAACTGCGGGTTAAGAGATTTATCTTTCTTTTTTTGCTGATTTCTTTTTTATAGGGTTTTGTTGTGTGTTCGTTTACCTCACATCGCAACGTTTTGCTGCTGAACAAACTAAATATAATTCACTGACATTGACCTTACTGCCATATCGCAATGTGTAAAAGCAAATTGTTTTGCTGGCGCCCCCTGGCGGCGTGGAAAACTAAAAGAAATAAATGAAAATGCAATTAATGAAAAACCGTTTTGTTGGCCTCTGTGTTGTTCAGATCGCATCGCATCGAATTGTATTGGAATTGTTTCTGGCCTGGTCTACATCATAAATATAATCTTTAGCAGTGAAAAAGCAATTTTCAATTTCGAAATGCTCGCGGTCGTAGCGCGTGTTTATAAATTGAATATATGATTCGCTGTTGTTGATCGTTTTTACTATAATTTTCCATACCCTCTAGCAAAGTGGCGCTGACACCAGGCAACTCAGCTACTACAGCAGCTAGAGTAAGGATTTTGGTAGGTAGATTTTGTTCATCATAAGCAGATGAGATTTGAAAAGAATATAAGCTGTTGCCCTATAAAACAAAGAAGAAACACAGAACTACAATATTATATTAATAGGCGGCTACGTGGTATCTTCTAGTCGTATTTGCATTTTTCCTTCACTCATTTCAATGAAATTGTTCACACAAATAAAATTGGCAAATTATGCAAGGGGCTACGTACGTCTGTTCGTCTGTTTGTCCGTTTGTTTATTTGTCCATTTGTTTACTTGCGGCAAAGCAAATATGCAGACACTTAAATCGCAATGATGTATGCTAAGTTTTTCTATATATACTCAAGTATACATAATATAGATACATATATACATACCTATATATCTAGACAGATATATTTGTATTTGTTGCTGACATTTGAAATGCAGCTCTTGGCAATATTTTCATATGCATTTTCACATGTCACCAAAATATTTATGCATTTTCCCTTGCTGTTTTTGCAATTAATGTATTAATTTCAACTGACAGCAAGTTGATTGCTAAATATTTATGCACACATTTATATACGCAACTGATTCGATAAAATATTCAAATATATTTTGTTAGATTTCTAAAGACTCGACTGTGGTGTGGGACTTGAGTGATGGTTACGTAAATATGTAGCTGTGAAATTTTTAAATAAATTATCTTAACATATTTGCTGTTTAAAACAAAAGTCAATCAAATCTGGTCAACGTTTTGAAGATTACTCAAATTTATGCAATCAAGTGACATTTATTTAAACATATTTTAGTTTTGAAAAGATTTACTAGAAAAATAATTAAATTTAAAAATATGTTCGCCACAGCAGAATTTATTCGCCCCGCTGGTGCATATACTTTTAATTTGTTTCCTTTTTTTTTTTGTTTGTTTCCATTTTCAATTAGAACTGCGGCCGTGTTTCCTTTTCCTCGACAACGAGCGCCTTAAGCTGAGATTACGTAAGAGATTTATACGGGTTGCTGTTGTCTTGGTTGAGGGGGGAGATGCTCAGCAACAATTTCCTGGCAGAGATTTTCACTTTTTTTCCGGTGATATGTGACAGTTATGAAGGGGGGAGGGGGGGTGGTTGGAGTGCCGGATGAGGGGGAGCTGCCTAGCCAAAGGCCAGTTCAGGCTTAAGCTCGGCACGGCAAAAAGTGTGTGAAAGTTGGCAAGAGTTTGTCATGCAATTAGAGCAACATGCGACCAAAAGTGGATGACGACCAACGACGACGACAGCTCTGGGAAACTCGCGATTGCTAAAATGCGTTTCCCGCAACTTGAAAATCAAGTTTTCCAGTCTGGCTGCTGCTGCTGCTGCAAATAAAAGCAACAATCAGCCAGGCAAAAGTGGTTTTCGCCAATTGAACATGTTTTTAGATCTTGTTGTTGTTATTGCTGCGAACGAAATCGAAATCAATTTTAGTATGTGCGCTGCCATAGAGCCATTGAACCACGCTCATCAAAGCCAATGTCCACATCCCAAAACCCGAAACCCCTTAAGCTACCCCCAGTCCCCCCACTCATACATACACAAAGCTAGCGTCTTATGTAAGCAGCAAAGCAGCGAGGGGCGCTTTATGACTTTTATTTGTTTATTTTCGCAGCAGCTCAAATCGAAATATGCGTAAGAGTTGCCACAGAGATGGGGGCAAAAAAAACATTGTTGCAGCGAAAGTTGCCCTAGCCCACACACAGAGGGAGAAAGAGAGAGAGACGGATGGAGCGAGAGTGGGCAGGGGAGAGAGAGGATATGTCGCTGTGGCCATCGTCATGATGCTGATAGTCAGCTCTTGGCCATAAATGTCGCTGGTTGCCATAACAAACGTAGCAAATGCCAATCGCACATTGTCTTGGCCAACACTGCACAAGTGGTCGAAAAGGAAGTGAAGTAAATGCCAAAAACAGTGTTGGATAAAATCCAAAGATATTTAAGCTGGGCAAATGGGCAAATAACATTTTATATGAAACTTTGCAAGCGCTTAAGTTTTGAAAGATGAAGAAAAATCGCTTAGAAGAGTTCACACAATTTTCATAAATATTTAAGAGTCGACAGCTTAAACTAAATTACGAAAATGCTAAAAAAAAGGCTCGGACAGTTTTATTATAAAAATGAAAAACCCACTGAAAAGACAAAGAAAAACAGGTCGATCTACGTTGTGGGAGCATTAGCAGATAAAACTTATTCTGAACTTTAATTTTTCAATATATTTATGGAAAGAAGCTTGATAAAAAAGATAGTAGCTGCTAGATATAACATATTTAGATAAAACAATTTTTTTAATTTAATTTATTTTAATTCATTTAAAGAAAAGAAGCTTTTCAAATGAAAAACTGTTTCCGGATCTAATTTGTGGGGACATTTGTAGACAAAACTAATATTAAAAATTGATTTATTTTGATTCTCTTATACTCTTTTTTTTATGTCTTGATCGATTTTAGGCATTGATTAGGCATTTTTGATTTAATATAAAATACTTTCAGGAATTTAACTATTTAGACCACATTTTTTTACGCCCGAGCACCATTTCAAATAGTCTAGTACACTTAGTGTATTATCTATCTGCTGGTTTCTCAACCTTGACCATTGTTAAACCTAGAAAAATATATAATTAAAATAGACAAAGGCATTTTTAAAATACCAGACGCACAAATTATAGCAGAAGAAAATAAATTTAAACTAATTAAATTTAAGCACTGCGTCTAGAATGCTGAGGCTGTGCTATGTCTCAGTTTGTGAGATGTGTGTGTGTGTGCGTGTGTGTGTGTGCACCATAAATATGCCAAAATAACAATGGTCCATTCCTGTTGTCGTCCCGCGGCCCCTGCACAACCCTGCACCCTGCTCTATACTGACAGGCAAATCTAATAAGCATAATGAATGAAGCAGCCGAGAGGCAACCAGCTGAGTTTCTGTTTTCGCTCAACGTGTTGAACTTGTGCTGTCACCTGTAAAGGCAATGACAACACAGACCCCCCACACCCCATCGCAACCTTCCCCCAACCCCCACGCCCTCTTTGCTAGTCAGTGAGTGTGGCCATGTGGCAAATACATATCTTGAAATTCACACCGCACTTTTGTCTGCTGCGAAATACTTTGCCTGTGTGTCTAATTAATTTCTATATAAGATACACTTCATTAAAAATGTTTCAGATATGTTTTTGACCATTGTTTTATGTTTCTTCTATTGTTGCATTTCGTTTCCTTTTGTTTATATTCGTGCTAGCTCAAGGAATTCGTTGATTGAGCGGCACAAATGTGTGACACGAAAAAAAAAGAAACTACTTGTATCTTGCGTATCTATAAGATACATGCATGCCACTCGCTGTTGAGGCTCAATGCTTGCCTAATGGCTTGTAAGTGATCTATGGGCTTGGTTTTCGAGGGAGTGGTGGGGGGACAGCGTTAACCAAACGGATTACATAGTTCATCATCAAATTTCCCAAAACAAGTGACACTTGCACCGTTGGCCTCCTTGAAAAAGGCTTCAGCTCGTCGCCTCTTGTCAGCTGAACCCCTCTCCTGCTCCTCACCCGTGCTATGCCAGCAATTAACGCACTTTGAGCTACATAAACTAGGTCAAGTATGTGGCTGCCAGCAGGAGCCTCTGCGGTGGGCTGACTGAAGTTTTTGAAGTGCTTGGCACTTCGTAGTCGTCTAATGAAATGCATTTCAGTTCTCATTAGGCGGGCCATTTTGTGATTTAAACATGAAAGGTATAACACTTGGCAAAGGCTTTGTGTGTGTATGTGTGTGTGTGTAACGAAGTACAGTTATGCTAGAGTCTAGCTAGACCGTTAATGGGTCGCAACTGTTACGCATTGATTGCCGAAATTCTAATATGTTAAGATCGCGCTAGACTTTGACAGACTTATTTTATTTCCAACAAGTTGGCAACGCTTTTCGATTTATAGATTTTTTATTTTCATCAAGTTGTCATTTACCTAAAACCTTTTTCCTTAAATCCATTCGAATTTGAATTCCCATATTCAAAACCTGTTCAAGTCGGCAGCCGTGCTTTAATTCTTGACGCTTACCCGGACCTAAGTACACAATCCCTTAATCTCAGTTTATTTTTCTTTATCATGCGTGATGGCAACACTTATACACACACATATAAACTGCGAGTCATCATAGAACGTGCTGGCAACACCGGCAACACGCAAAGTGAAAGCAATTTTCTTGCATAAAGTAAAATAACCTGCTGTTAAAGTGCTTTTCCTTTGTGTTCTTTAACAGCATTACGCACACCTTTGACCTCTACGAACCCCGAGATGTGCACCCTCCTGCTCTTGCTCTATTTCTACCTT